ATTACTAAAAAAAAAAAAAAAAAAAAAAGCCATTGCCAAACCTTAGGTCATCTGGATTTTCCCTGTATTATTTTTTTGAAATTTTATATTTAAGCTTTTTACAGTTATATTTATGACCTATTTTGAGTTAATTTTTGTGAAAAGTCAAAAAAAAGTCTTTGTGTTTATATTAATAATTTTTTGCATGTAGATGTTTAGTGGTCCCAGTACCATTTCTTGGGAAGGTTATCCTTTATTCAGTTGCCCTTGCCCCTTTGTCAAAAATCAGGTGACTGTATTTTTGTGGGTCTATTTCTGGACTCTATTCTGTTCCATTGATCTTTTTGGATCTATAGCTACCTTCTTTCACCAGTACACACTGTCTTGATTACTGTAGCTTCATACTAATTTTTGAAGTACTATCAGTCTTCTGACATAGTTCTCCTTCCTCAGTATTGTGCTGGCTATTCTGGGTCTCTGCCTTTGCATATGAATTTTAGAATCACTCTCGGGGTAAAATAACTCACTGGAATTTTGATGGGGATTGGGTTAAATCTGTACATCAAATTGGGCAGAACTGTCAACTTAACATTAAATATTCCAATCCATAATCATGAGATATCTCTCTAATTATTTAGGTTTTCTTTTATTTCTTTCATCAGAATTTTATAGGTTTCCTCATATTTCTCTTGTACATATCTTGTTAGATTTAGACTGATACCTATGTGTATTTCATTTTTGGGGTACTAATAAAAGTAGTTTTTTATTTTAAATTTCAAATTTTATTGTTTATTCCTGGCATACAGGAAAACAGTGTTTTGTATATTAACTTTGTATCCTGTAACCTTGCTGTGATCATTTAGTTTCAGGATTTTTTTGTGTGATTTTTAAAGATATTCTACATAGAAAATTTCATCATCTGTGAACATGACAGTTTTATTTCTTCCTTCCCAATCTGTCTTTTCTTTTCTTGTCTTACTGCATTAGCTAGAACTTCCAGCATGAGGTTGAATAGGAATGACAAGAGGGGACATCCTTTTCTTGTTTCTCATCTTTGGGAGAAAACATCTAGTTTCTCACCATTAAGTATGATATTAGTTGTAGATTTTGGTAGATATGCTTTATCAAGTTGATAATTCTCCTCTGTTCTTAGTTTTCTTAGAGTTTTTACTATAAATTGGTGTTGAATTTTGCCCAATGCTTTTTCTACATCAGTTGATATGATTATATGATTTTCATTCTTCAGACTGTTGATGTGATGGATTACATTTATTGATTTTGAATGTTGAACTAGTTTTACATACCTGGAATAATTCTCACCTGGACATGATATATAATTGTTTTTATACATTGATGGATTTTATTTGCTAATAGTTTGTTGAGGATTTTTACATCTAAGTTCATGAGAGGTATTGGTTTGAAATGTCTTTTAATGTCTGTCTGGTTTTAGTATTAGGGTAATGCTGTCTTCATGAAATGAGTTAGGAGGTATTTCATCTGTTTCTATTTTCTGGAAGAGATTGTAGAGTAATGGAATTATTTCTTCCTTAAATGTTTGGTACCGTTCACCAATGTTATCATCTGGGCCTGGTGCTTTCTGATTGGAAGGTTATTAGTTGTCAATTGAATTTCCTTATTAAATATAGGCCTGAATTGAGCGAAGTTTCATATCTGGGACCCATCGACTGAAAAAGTGTTCAGGTCCCTGGGAGGAATAGTTCTGCAACACCATGAAAAATACAGATTGTGATTATTTTCCAAGCTTTTTCCCAAAGCTCCCATGATCATTTACTTGAGTATACTTTATATTGGGTATATTAGGTCCTTCAAGAAGTAGACTCCAAGACAGGATTGTGATTTTGGAATCTGTGAGTTATTCCTAGAAATTCCTTCTAAAGTTTACCCCTTCAGACCCTGCATATTATTTTGAAACTATCGAAAAGCTGATAATAAATTACTTTCTGCTTAACCCATTGAAATACTTTCTATTGTTGGCTACTGAATCTTAATTGATAATATACTTGTTCACAAGGATGGTTGCCAAGTGCAGTTTTTTTTAAAGATTTTGTGTATTTATTTGAGGGAGAAAGAGCGTGTGCACAAGCAGCGGGGGAGGGGCAGAGGGAGAGGGACAAGCAGACTCCCCACTGAGCAGGGAGCCAGATAACACAGGGCTTGATCCCAGGACTTGGAGATCATGACCTGAGCCGAAGACAGATGCTTAATCGACTGAGCCACCCAGGTGCCCTGCCAACTGCAGTTTCTAAAAGAAACTACATCAAGGATGGAGTAATTGACCTGATTGGGGTTTAAAGCAGTGAAAATCCTGTTAGCATTTGCCACAGTATTTTGTGGCAAAGAGTGGTAAAATTTCATCTGTGTCAATATGGACTGAGGGGCATATTGAAGGTGAAGCTTTCGCAGATTAGGTTGCTGCTGTGAAAACCATTGTGGTTGAGAATGAAGAATTCAAGAATTGTAGCATCGGCTGGGTAAAATTCTTGAAAAAAATGACAGACTCAGGCTATTAAATCTTGGGGGAAGGCATGGTCAGAGGACCAGGAAACTTTATGGTTCCCTAAAATAACCTTTGTTGGTATTGTTGTTGTTGTTATAGACTGAGTTTGTTTTTGCAATTTGATTTAAAATGTAGTTTGAATTCAAAGACTCCTTATGCCTCTTGTGGAAAAGTGAGGGCATTGTTTATGAGAGTGTGGGATCCTAAGAATTGGAATGGGGAATTGGGGAGCATTTGGATGACTGCAAATACCTCTAATCCCTGATATCCCTGCTTCCAGCTTCCCTTGATAAAAGAAGTAGCTCTTCCTCCTCTGATAAGCATGATTCTATCTTCTCTGGAAATATGCAATCACCTCAATTGTGCATGCAAGTTTTCCACATGCCTCATTCTGACCATCCTCATTCTGAACTATAAGCAGATCTGTGAAGAGCAAACCAACACAAAAAGGATTTGCAATTAGCTGCTAAGTCATATCAGTAGAAAATGGGGGATGTGTGTAGAAATAAAGAACCTGGTTCAGGTAAGAAGAAATAAAATTTTAAATTGGGTTGAAGATTTCTTTATTTTTGATCATTTAGAGTAGGTTCTATGTAGTCGCTCAGTTCAACTGACTGAGACCTAGATTTATTCATTAAATGAATTTGAGATGCTAATAATGAAGAGGCAGAAATTTAAGACTTAGGAAAATAGGAATGTTGGAGTGGATTGTTTGGTAACCAATACAAATGGTAACCAAAAGAATTTTTGGTGTAGTTTGTTTATTCTTCTCCTATTCTGTATAAACTGAGATGGCCTAGAAGACCGTGTGTAATAAAACATTTAGAAGTAGTTTGTTGAGGAGAGTGTTGGCGTTCTTATGAAATGCTGTAATGGCTGACCTATTCAGACCTCACATGAAGTGGAGATGATGCTATCTCAAAGTGAAGCTGGCCAGTAACAAAATGTAATTGTTAGAGGCAAGTGTAGCATGATTACTCTAATATTATCATAGTAGTCAGCAAAGCCAGGTGCTTTAGGGACCTTTGGTGGTGGCTAATGGAACTTGAGATCCATAGCAATAAAAGAGGTAGGCCACTAATGAAAATCCTACATGGCTTGATAGAAAAACAAAAAAAAAACCTCTTCTGGGTTGGGTGACTATGCTGTTTGATGGTAATAGTTCATTGGAAAATGGGAAATACTCAGATGCTGGTTCTATGCTGATTAATTCCTGGATATCCAGAAAATCACCATGGTTCTATTGGTCAGAGGTGGGACATATGAAGGTTAAGTGATGAATGGAACTTAGGTCCAAGTCCACCTCTGAGTGGCTCACAGATTCTACAAAACCATTCTGTGGTTGCTTTTCTATTGGTGAATGGGTAATTGGAATAGATATACTCAGTGTTTGGTAGTATCTTCACACTGATTCCTGATCCATTAAATGAGTTCCATTATGGGAGTGTGTCAGGACGCCCTCAAAACCATCCCCAGGTTCCATGATTTGCTAGAGGGACTCACAGGTCTCAGAATATAGTTGTACTTATGGCAAAGATTTATTACAGTGAAGGGATACACAGCAAGATCAATAATGGGAAAAGGTACATGTGGCAATGTCTAGGGGAAACCAGGGGCACACTTCCAGAGTCTTCTCCCCCAGTGGAGTCACACAGGACACACTTTATTACAGCAATGAGTTGTGACAATCAGGGGAGATCCTAAGATACTCAGTGCCTTGGATTTTTTTATTGGTGGTTGGTCATGTAGATAGTTTCTGCCTGGCACATATTAAAATTCTAGACCCCAGAAGGAAAGCAGGTATTCAGCATAAACTAGATTTTTGTTTGCACAAACAGTTTAAGTATAGTGACCTACTCTTAATCAGTTAGAATGGTGGGAACTGGTTGTCCCAGATGCCAGCCAAGGGCCAACATTGAAAGTCTGGCTTTTGAAGGATATTAGCCAGTCCTGCTCTTTCTTCATAGGTAAGAATAAACACCCCCCAACCTCTGGGGGAATTACAGAGATGGGTGCCATCATGGGCACTAATTCCTGTCCATTAACCTGACCTGCCTTTTTGTCCTTTGCAGGGGTGGATGAGTCTTGGAAAATAATGGATGATTATTGAAAGTATAACCAGCTCAGGATTCTGATAACAGTGCTCTTTCAGATGTAGTTTCTTTACTGAGCAAGTCCACAAAGCTCTGTGTAGTTCTGTATGTGGAAAAAAATATTTGTTTTCTCTATTCCAACGAGCAGAGAACTCTAGAAATATTTTGTTTTCAATTAAGAGGGACAACAGTATGCCTTTGCTGTTGTGCTTTGGAACACGATCAACTCACTTGCCCCTGGTCATATATGGTCTGTAGATGCCTGAATTGTCTCGCCCTTGTATAGGACATCATGTTTATCCACTACAGACATGGTGGTAATCTGACATAATTTGGTAAGCACAGGTTAGCAGATTTTTTTTTAAAGATTTTATTTATTTATTTGACAGAGAGAGAGACAGCGAGAGAGGGAACACGAGCAGGGGGAGTGGGAGAGGGAGAAGCAGGCTTCCTGCGGAGCAGGGAGCCCGATGCGGGGCTCGATCCCAGGACCTGGGATCATGACCTGAGCCGAAGACAGACGCTTAACGACTGAGCCATCCAGGAGCCCCAGGTTAGCAGATTTTTAAAAATGCTTTGGACAAGTTCATATATGGCAGAGGTTGGGTAATAAACCTGATAGATATACAGAGTTCGAATGCATTCATGAAGTTACTTGGAATAAAGAAAGATAACTCTCAGAGAGAGAGAAAATTTGCCTTGTCTTGCATCTTATACCTCTAAGAAAGATACAGAAAACCTGGTTGGCTTGTTTGAGTTTCAGATGCAAGCTATGCGTAAAACAAAACAGAAACCTGTGTGGTACCTAATATGAGGCAGTGTTCTTGAGTCTGTTAAGACTTCAGCGCAAGGATCTGTGGACATTTAGTCAGCTTGATAAAAGTATGTCCTACTCTGTCAGAGAATCACATTATAGGTCCCAATCATTTTGGAGTAAAGCCAGCAAAATAAGTATTCTTCCCTTGAGAAAGAGCTATTGGGCACAGATTAAGACTGAATTCCTGACCATGAGACAATGACCCTGCAACCTGAGCTGCTTGAAATAAGTTGAATATGATATAATTTGAGTGTGCCAAGCAACAGCATTCTGTCATCAGCGGAAGCAGTATATACAAGACCAAAATTGAGTAGGGCCTGCAGTCTCAGATAAATGCCACAAGCAGATGGCTCACACTCCCAGGGCATCTGTTCACAATGCCGTATCATATATATATATATGGTGAATATATATATATATTTTTAATTTTCACCTTTTTTTTAAAAAATAAATTTTTATTTCTGATTTTTCACTGACCGTCATCGCCAGCAGAGAAAGTCATCTGGGTAACACTGAGTCTTTGAAATATACTGAAATTAGTTTTATGAATATTTTATTTCCATGTATTCTTGTTGGGTGCCGAATTTAGAATATATCCATTACTTAGGGCCTGTCAAAAACAAACTCCCTCAGTTTTTAACCATTTCAAAATTATCTTATCCCCTACCCTGAATAAACGAACATTCAGGTCACCACTAAATCTAAGTTTACTGTGGTTTTTTAATAGTTTTTGAAAACACTATTCCATTATCTTACATTTGCTCCATAGGCCACTATCTTATTTGCTTATGTTGTTGCTGTTGAAAAGTTGACTGCCAGTCTAAATAACATATCTTTGTAGATACGTTTTGTCTCTCTAATTGATTTTAAGAACTTCACTTCTCTTTGGAATTCTTCAGTTTAATTACAAAGTATCTAGCTTAATATATTTTTAATTTATCCTGAGCCCTGATTCTTAGAGTTCATGACCTTTTTCATTTCTGAAAAATTTTCATTTCAAGTACTGTCTCCCACATTTTCTTTTATTTCCCCTATATGGTTCACTTAGTCATGTGTTGGACCCTATCATTTATCTTCCAGGTTCCTAAACTTTGTTTTTTTTTTCATGTTTGTGTACATCTCTTTGTTGCATTTTGTATATTTTCTCATAAATATCTTCCAATTCATTGAATTCTATATGCACTTCTGTTTTTTGTCTTTTTTCCTATTTATACCATCTACATTGTTTTCATTTTGAATGGTTGTTTTCCTGATCACTTTTACAAAATCATGCTTGGTCTCTTCTTCCTTGTGCTTATTTTAAAAATTTAATCTTTTATATATTTGATACATAAATTTTTTATATTCATTATCACATAATGCCAACGCATGAAATCCTTGGGTATCAATTGTGCCCTTGTTTTCATTTGATTATTTGTGCTAGCTCTGATTCATAGAGGTGTGTTTGTCATTTGCTAGTTAATTTTTCACTGCGAGCCCTTATTTGGCTGATCATAATCAATGGGAATCTTGACATGGCCTTACGAAGGTGCTAGGAATTTTTTTTTCCTGGCAAATTCTTCCTCTAGCTTTGTGCAAAGACGTCAGTTCTAGTTTCTTATCTTATGCAGATCTAAATTCTTTTATTACCTTTCTCAGTTCCACTTTCAAGACTGGGGCTCTGGGTTGTTTTTCTCTGCAGGATAACTTCAATCTCTCCTCACTGTTCTTGCATCTTCTTTTGCATTAATTCTGGAATTGTTCTTTTTTTTTTTTAAGTAGGCTCCATGCCCAGCATGTAGCCCAATGCAGGGTTTGAACTCATGACCATGAGATCAAGACCATGAGATCAAGACCTGAGCTGATACCAAGATTTGGACACTTAACCCACTGAGCCACCCAGGTGGCCCTGGACTAGTTCTTAAAATATTATTCAGGATGGTTATTCAGTAATAAACTATTATGTTGGCTTTACTTCTTCCCATCTCCCGTTCAATTCTTGGGATTTGCTTTACATTTTGCAGCCTTGGGACTCAGTTATATATATATTTAAAAGCATTTTATATTCCACTTCTTTCCACATCTAACATTTTTATACTTTGTAAGTTGGCTTATATATTTTTATAGAAAATATGACCCGCTGTTTTTGCCAAACTAGAAGCAGTTTCATTTTTTGTAAATGTCTTATATCTCCTTTCTCATGTTGTACATTCTTTTATATCTGGACACTGTCTTATTCTTCATTGTATCTGTCCTATCTTCCTGACCCCATTCCCAGTGTCTAGCATAAATAGGTGTTCAGTCTTTAAAAAAGAAAGATAAAACAGTGTGTCTACTTGAAAATAAATTTGCTGTCACTTTTGAATATTTTGCTGTTTGGAAGTCTCAGAGATTTTTAAATGCCTCATAAAAATTATTGGCAATATAATTCAATTAAAATTATGTGATCATTTTTTTTTCTATCTTGGGTCATATCCAAGCTCCATCATTTAATACTCATGGGATCTTGGGGAACTGATTAATGATTTTTAAAGCATAAGTAGAGAATAGCACAAGAGGGTGTTTTGGACATAATGAGACAATATGTATGAAGCACCTAGCACAGTGTTAGAACATTGGGATCTACAAGGCATTTTTCCCTTCCTCAGAAAACCCGGTAAAGAGAACACTAGTTGCTATCAGTATCTATTTATTCCTTGTCCCTTTTGGTGCACATAGAGAAAAAGTGATAAAGAAATTATCAATCCGGGGTTCCTGGGTGGCTCAGTCGTTAAGCGTCTGCCTTCGGCTCAGGTCTTGGTCCCAAGGTCCTGGGATCGAGCCCCACATCGGGCTCCGGGCTCCCTGCTCAGCGGGAAGCCTGCTTCTCCCTCTCCCACTCCCCCTGCTTGTGTTCCCTCTCTCACTGTGTCTCTGTCAAATAAATAAAATCTTAAAAAAAAAAAAAGAAATTATCAATTGAAAATAATTTTATTTTTTGGCAACAAAATATAAATTTGCCTTATTAAATATAATGCTACTGGATTATACTGATTTACTTTGGGTGATTCCAGTTCATTTCTTGTCTAAATGATGAATACCACTTGAAACAGTATACGGTAATGTTATCTTTAGTAGGCAGTAACAGTTAATAAAGGAATTTCCCAGCCAAAACGAGGCAATAAACAGCTATGACAGCAAGAAAATATGTGATTTTTTTTCTAAATGGAAAATAGTGAACATATAGAGTGTTATGGGACCTGAGTTCAGAATCAGGATATAAAAGGAATGTTTCAGGGTTTGCATGTCTCTTTATACTGTTGCTTTCCTTCCCTCTTCCCCTTTTGTCTCCTTTTCTTCCTCCTTCTTTATTCCTCTATTTTTCACTCTCTCCCTTCTACCCACCTGACTGAAGGATGGAAAACAAGTGTGGGTAGCAACAACATCTGGTTTGGGGTGTGGCTGAGATGAGAATTGATAGTCTTTAACTGAAATATAGAATGCAGAAGACTGGATGATTGATAGGTAGAGAGGGTGAGAATAGTCCAAGAACACTGTATAATTTCCTGGCATGGGATGGAAGAAGGTGCACTTCATTGAAATATGAGCTGGTTGGGTGGGTGGGGGAAGGGAAGGATGGTTTAGTTTTGGAGATTTAGAGTGTCCGTCTATGTGGGGTGTGTGTGTGTGTGTGTCGTGTGTGCTCAGAAAGAAGACTTACAATATAGATTTGAGGAATATATCCTATCAGGACTTCAGATACAGATTTGGGACAATATGTAGATAATACTCAGAATCATGAGAGTGAAGAAAAAGCCTAGGAAAAAAAGTATAATCTGGGCAGAGAGAAGGATTAACATGGAACTATGAGGATAATCAACATTTAAGGGACACATAAAGGAGAGAAGTAGGTTAGGTATGATTAATATTCATTCATAAAACAGAGGTAAGGAGAAGAAATATTTTTGAAATTGGAGTAAAGCACAGAGCAATGAAATGCCAGATTATATGGAGAGCTCAATGAAAGGGCAAAATTATGGATTTTCCTCCCAGGATCCTGAATGCCCATACTTTAGACCTATATATATATATATATATATATAGTGGGTCCTTTTTCTAGAATATGGAGAAAATCTTACTTTCCTAACATTTTTATTAAATGTTTAGATACATCCCTGTCCCTGATCTATGGTCCTGATTTTCACTCTACATTCCCCAATTAATTCTTATAGTCTCATGGGGTGTCTTGTTTCTTGCCATTATATTGCAGAAATGAAAAGAAAGTAGTTGAAAAAGAACTTTGATATGCCTTCAAGAAATAAAATATAAAAGAATATTTTGAGTGTTCAACTTCACATAATTTCTATGATTATGCAGCTTCATAGAATTTTATTATGAATACATCAGTGTGTCCTGAACTTCAGTATACTGTTCATTCTCAATATGCATTCTGAAATCATATTTCAGTTGTAGAAGCAAATTAATATGAATTGACAAGAGGATCAGTGTGCTGTAGAAGAAAGAACACTGCCCTCGGCAGTAGTAGGAAATTTGAATTGTAGTTTCTAATACCAAATTACTGTATTTTCTCATAAATACTCTTAACTTCTTTGGGCCCAAGTTATGTGATTTGTAAAACAATGACCTCCAATGTCCCTTCAACTTCTTTTTTTTTTTTTTT